GATTTTGTTTTTTAACCCGTTTGGATACTTGAAATAACAACATCAGAGGTGTCCTAAGAAAAACATCTTCCAGATTTGCTTGACGACTATATTTTCTAGCATGAACTAGTCTGCAATTTTTATAATCCTTATTTCGAGCTTCTGATGCCTCTTGCCCAAGTGTTCCAACTGGTAAAATACTAGTAGATATTATTTGAGTTCCGTGAATCAAAATTTTATGTACAGTAGATGATATGGAGTACCAAGTGTAGCAATTAATATAAAGCTCAGCTGTGGAAGTACATAATTTTTAATAAAAAGATCCGGAAACTATTGGCTCGAGCGTCCGCGAATTAATAATTTTTCTATCCTCATCATTCTACTCACACTTTTATTTCATGTAATTTTTCTAAACATATTATTGTAAATTACCAACCGGAGTTTAAATTTTAGTTTCCCCGTTTAATTCCGGTTGATGTGTCCTCCGTATTTATTGTAACACCCGCGAGAACATAATTTTCCTTTACCTACATTCACGCACACGAATATAATTACACATTAGAATTTAAGAAAATGTATTTTATAAATAAGATTTCGTAAATAGAATTAAATGTTCCTTTATTAAATTTTATCTTTTTTTTTTTAATCATTTATTTTCATTTTTTTGAATAAATGTAACGTTAAATTTTAAATTCGAGTAATTCATTAACCCAACCTCCTTCCTGTTATTCGAAATCGCACAAAGTCCCGTCCCGTGTAATAAGGATTCAGTTCCTTTACCAGAAAAGGGACCACCGAGCGAACGGCCTTTCGATAGAGTAAGAGCGACCCTTCCGGTCGTTGACCTATCTGGGGCCCTGGTCTGTTCGTTCGACTCTAGGACACGCATCGTCTAGCGTTTGTCTAGAGGCAAGTAGGTTACGCCCTCCCGCTGACTCTTCCTTTAGTGTTGGTGTTTTCAAAACTTTATCCAGGATCGCATGTAAATCTTTCTCTTTTGATTGCCTATGTTTACCTGCCATCAAAATTCTTAATGGATCATGTTGGTATTTGGCACTCAATGCAGCAGCCTCTCGTCTCTGAGACCGTAAAGATTTTTCACGAAACGGCATAGTTGGACGGCCACCGTTTGAAGCAGAACACATATCTTCTGCAATAATTTCCAAAGTAGGAACTTTGAATACTCCTTTCAACCATTCCGAATTTTTTTCCCTGAATCGATTATTATCCCTGCGAGATGCTGCGTATTTTTCATTTCTTTTTGTCCTAAGAGCCGAAACAGCACTTCGAAGACATTTCAGATTATCTAGTCTCACTTTTTCAATGTCAACATCCATTCTTTCTAAAATATATTTAACACCTAAATCCTTGTGATCATCACCAGGAATTGGAGCCAAAATTTCCTCTTTTGTAAAAGAAACCATCTCTAGTAAATCTTAATACTCAAGACACTTTAAATACGGCAAAATGTGCCAAAAATCGAGTTTCGCCCAATTTTCAAGGGAAATTTCAAAACTATTGCCTGTTATTGGATTTTTGGCTTTCAAATAGAAACTAAGGAAGGATAAAGTTCCGAAAAGGTCCCGTCTCCGATTTCGATGAAACTTTGTGAAAAGCTTCCTTTTAGGTTAAAATGAAAGCCACTAAAAGGAATTTTGGCGACTCCTACAAAAAAGTCATTTTTTAAGAGAAAATGGTAAAAAGTATAATAATTGTGATAATTATTTACATTAGCAAATATCTCGCCAATGACCTTGACCTTCACATATGTTGCTGATTAATATTCACTTTGTTTTATTTGGCGGACTCGTATAGTTTTTGACATATTTGAAAAAGATTTACCGAGTTATACGATTTTACATGGATTTGTAACTTTCAAAGGTAATTATACAGAAAAGGGGCAATCCATACAACAATTGTAGGGTGAACCTCGCTTCGTGTTATAAAGTATATGCGTGGACACAGTGGGTTCCGCCCCCCTACGGGGGGGCTCCACTTCCGGAAGATATAGCCTAACCCAAACCTATTTCCGATTTAGTTTCGCATCCAAAGCACAGGGCGACATGGAATGGACCTCGCTTCGCGCAGAAAGTTGCAAACCCATGTGAAGTCGTTTAATTATAAACCTCGTTTTGCGTCCGAAACACAGGACGATATGAGATGAACCTTGCTTCGCATTGTAAAGTATATGCGTGCCCACAGTGGGTTCCGCTCCCCTACGGGGGGGCTCCACTTCTGGAAGATATAACCTAACCCAAACCTATTTTAAAGTGAATATTGATCAGCAACCTCACCCTTACAACATATGTGAAGGTCAAGGTCATCGGCAAAGTATAAATGTAAATCCGCTAATGTAAATAATTATTGATTCAGTACCATTTTCTCTTAAAAAATGACTTTCTTGTAAGAGTCGCCAAAATTCCTTTCAGGATCATTCATTTCAACTTGAAAGGAAGCTTTTCACAAAGTTTTATCAAAATCGGAGACGGGACCTTTTCGAAACTTCACCCCTAAGGAATTCTAATAATAATGTTTAAAAAATGTAATAATGTAAAAAACATCAAAAATGAAAAAATTAACTATATAATTGATGGGGGAGAAAATGGGGAAAAATAAATTTTTGCACGGAAAAGAGTCTCACTTTGTTGTCATTCACACAGTGACAACGAGTAGGCAACAGCTCCATGTGTCGTTATAGTATGAATCTCGTTATACGCGACCACAAAAATTATTAAAAGATATCTGAAACTCGATCTCTGTGACAATTAAAAATGAACGATTCATAAGCGATTGCTATTTATCGAAGCAGATATTAATTTCGTGTGATTTATTGTTATTCCCCATCGCGAAGCTAGGTCCATCCTACAATTGTTGTGTAGATGGGGAAATGTATGCGTGAACACAGTGGGTTCCGCCCCCCCCCCTACGGGGGAGCTCCATTATCAAAAAACTAGACACATAGGTTTGCGTTGAACCTCGCTTCGTGTGGAAAGTTGTAAACCTATGTGGAACCTTAGTACGCATTAAAAAGTATATGCGTGAAGGCAGTATGTTCCGCCCCTCCCCCCTTACGGGGGGCTCCACTTCCGGAAGATATAACCTAACCTAAACTTATATATTTCTGATATACTGTGTCCGATCGGGGCTGTGTCCGATCGGGATGGTGTCCGATTGCAATCATATGTGTCCGATCGGGCCTGTGTCCGATCGGGCCTATGTCCGATCGGGAATGTGTCCGATCGGGACTGTGTCCGATCGGGCGTGTGTCCGATCGGGCCTGTGTCCGATCGGGCCAGTGTCCGATCGGGCCTGTATCCGATCGGGCCTATGTCCGATCGGGAATGTGTCCGATCGGGCCTGTGTCCGATCGGGCCTGTGTCCGATCGGGCCTGTGTCCGATCGGGCCTGTGTCCAATCGGGCCTGTGTCCGATCGGGTCTGTGTCCGATCGAATCTGTGTCCGATTGGGACTGTGTCCTATTGCAACAGTATGTGTCCGATTGCAACAGTATGTGTCCGATCGGAACTATGTTGAGTCTGTGTCCGATCGAGCCTGTGTCCGATCTGGACTGTGTCCGATCGGACATGTGTCCGATCGGGTCTGTGTCCGATCGGGAAATATTGTCGTGTCCGATCGGTAATGTGCGCAATCGGGACGACCCCTACTAATATAAAGTAAGAATAATTACAAAAAGCAGTGAAATCCCACTAAAAAAAACCTCACAAAGTTAAAAAAAATACGCCAAGTGCATATCTAAAAAATAATTTATACAATATTTTTCCTAAATAATAAGAAATAAAAACTAAATATGAAATCAATAGTTAACTAGCCAAGTACTTAGAAGCAATTTAGTTTGTGGGAGTTTGTAATTTGAAATAGTATTTGTCAAAATCAAACTTGTATTTATAGAAATGTTATACACAAATTCTTTCCATAAAATTAAAATTTTATTTTTATTAACAGGAACTTGATTTTCAAAATAAGTTTAATAGAAATAAAAATTTTTTTTTTAATTTTAATTAAAAAAAGGCGTTGGTTCCTTAAGACAGCAGGACGGTGGCCGTGGAAGTCGGAATTCGCTAAGGAGTGTAACAACTCACCTGCCGAAGCAACTAGCCCTGAAAATGGATGGCGCTGAAGCGTCGAGCTTGGAATATGTAATTCGATAGGAAGTGCATTTATCGCGCAATTTAACAAACCACTACCTCTTATAATTTTTGCTGGCATTTACCACAATTTTTTATTAACGGTGTTGGACCGTCGAAATGTGTTTGCTGCCACGGCAAATTATAATGTCGCGTGCATCGACGATACTGTTGAACCTCTGAGTCAGCTTTTATATGTTCGGGAAGCTTGTCCCACAATTGTTCCACGTAGCT